AATATGCACAAAAATGTTCGTTGTGTAAATACTTTTGACTATGGCTGTATTTATTCTCTTCTTCTTTTGCAACTGCGTTTGGATAAATTATTTTATGATTTTTGTTATTTATTTTTATCATTCTGTTATTATAATGAATTACTGCATTTTTTTGTTTCAAAATTTTTTGAAAAGGAAATTGTGAAGAAACGTAAGTTATGTCGTTATTCAAATATATATATCATTTGGCGTTCTATTCTATTTAATTCAAATGTATTAGTCATGTATTGTCTTTATTAAATTAGGTTTTATTACTTCTGGTTTTGTTTATAAAGTACTTGGATTTATTAGACTAAAAGATGAGCCTATTTACTGGTACAAGTGGAAGTTCCGTTCCGAGGCTTTTCTCTGAACATTTACTTCCATTACTTTAATTCCATTGGTACATTCTAGTTCTACTTTGGTCACTATCTTGTCTTTGTCTTTTATTAAAATTATATTGTCGTTGGTTATGTATATACTGATTTCTATTATTGAAATTGTTGTAAGGGATTTGTCTTGGATAAGTATTATAATTATTAAAATTTCTTACTGCATTGTTTGGAATATTAGAATATTGTCTAAACTGTTGAATTTTTCGAACTACGTTATTAATAGTTTGATTCTGTGGATATTGGAAAGTATTTGAATTGATTTGGTTGTTACCAAAATTACTTCTTGTTTAATAGGGTTTAATAGGGTAATTATTATGGGTATTTGTATGTAATTAATTTTTGTTTTATTGTCAGTTAATTGTTGTTCTGATAATTTTTCATATACTTTAGTAAGAGTTTCAAAATGATTTGCGGAGATGGTAACTTATTTCTAAAATTATCTAAGTCATTGCGTTCTGCTTCCCTATAATAAAATTCTTTTATTTGATTAGATGTGTCTGATAAACGTATGCAATCTTTGGTTCTATTTCAAGATAAAATAATTTTACATTATTATTTTTAAAATTATTTTTTTCAAATTCTACAATAAGTTGGTCTAAGGTTAATTTTTCAGTATACTCTTTGTAAAATTGTAAGCGCTTTTATAATTTGTAATTGTGATATTTATTTAAGTTTATTTAACTGCAACGACATGGATTTTCCGGTTTATTAAAATTCTTTTGCTGGGGTAACCTCAGCCTCTTCCAGGGGTCGCCACAATAAATTTATATTTGCGGGGACAGGACTTCTCAAATAAAAAATGTTACTTTAATTTTAAACAAGGAGATTTTGTTAAAATAATTAAAATAAATATAAGTTATGAAAAATTTTAGAACAAAATAGAATTTAATTTGCTTCATTGTAACTGTGAAGTGTCTTGGCGACCAGGTCGATGATGCCTCGTGCAGTCCTTTGAAATCTATGCTCTGCTTTGGGAAAAATATCTGCTTTGGGAAAAAT